GTATATCGCGTCTGTGCTGAAATTGCGTGCAAAGGATAACAAAAAGAACTTGATATTTGTATTACGTATGTTAAGATAAAATTATTTTTTTTTTCCTCTCAATTATATTTATTATATTGTTGTTGTTCCACATTCATATGATTTTGCACCGATCGTTACACCGAATTTCCGTCATTGTCACAAGAACAATCGATATGTATAACATCGTGATAAATAATAAAATACAAAATTTATTTTAATATATTTTCTGCTTTTAAACGTGACGAAGGAAGATCGATAGAAAAATATCTGTTCTGAAGAAAAATCGGATGGGAAAATCTGTTCGGGAATAGCACGGGTCTAGTAACTTGAAAATAATCATAATCGCTAATTCCTATTTTGCGTTTCTGCAATGTTTTTTTATTTCATCCACTTTATTGCCCACTTCGATAAGTTTGAGTTAATTAAGTATAAATCATACATGCGACATTCGGCTTTTCACGTTTTACAAAATGGAAAAATGTGATTACTGTCCTAATTGAACAGAATTTGAAGTAAAGAAATTACTACTCTGATAATCAACATTTTATTATCATATATAAAGAAAAAATATTATTTTAACGATGTTTTACTCTAATTTCATTCTTTGTATAATAATTAAACGAATATTTAATCGGTTTTTAAAGACTAAATGAATTTTGATCGAATAAAAATGTATATCAATTACAACAATTTTAACGTACGGAGCTAAAAATTGCAGTGCGATAATCGAGGAGGATGTGGGACAGGATAAATGAAGTGAACGCATTACGAGATATATAATATAATTCTACAATTATACCATAATACGTGTTCCATTTATTAAATTGGAGATATAATACACAAGCGATAGATAACACGTATGTATAATTTATACAGTACTTTATACAGATTGTCTCTACCTCGTCCATTAACAATTTACCTAAGTTTACTGTACAGCAATGTGTTGTCAGATACTCGATAGACGTTACAAGAGACTTAGGATGCGCCTTTTAGGAAACGATCGTTTGATTAATCACAGCGCGCAAAGTAGCGAAGCGTTCTTTCTTTTCTTTTTCTTTTTTTTCTGCGTCCGGAAAACGTTCTTCGAATTCTCTTGCCCCTTCAGGGTCCCGCTGCTGAATCTTTCTGAACACAGCGATTAACGCTTATCAAGTTCTACGACTTGCATTCTCGCCGCATGTTAGACTAAAAGGCAGTCCGGTGTTTACAGGAAAAAAATCAATATTTTCTTCTTTTTAATCCGAAAAAGCTTCGAAAAAAACTTGAAAATCTAACATTTAATTTGTCTACAAAAAGACAATAATAATATATAATGAAAGTTAAACTTTGGCAAATATTCGATTAAGACGATATCGATTTTTATATTTTTATTGGCATAATGTGAGTGTTTTAAAAAACAATTATTAAAATAATTCCTACGCTATATACAACCAAAGTTTGTTAAACTCTATTAAAAGAATGCTGTTACATTTCGGCCCAAAACTTATGTAATCATATTTAGCGCTAATCTGCGGCAAGAATACAGAAAGTTCTTTTTAGTTGCACTTTTACTTTACTTTATTTCCTTTTTTTCTTCTCCTTTGTCTCCTCCTTCGAAAGCCCGAATATACACTTGTCTCATTTTAAATGCGGAAAATGTAAGGAAGTGCAGCTGAAAAAAACCGAGCCAGAATTACGAGTTTGGACGCACGCCACGTGCGATTTATGTATATATTTATATGTATATATATATATATATATATATTCTCCTATTCCTCTGTACTTTATTTTAGTCTACAATAGACGATACCTACTTACTTACGCGCCTAAACCGAACGCCGTATTAAATACGTTAGATATCACATTCACGTTTATCGTATATCTACATAATATACAAAGTTCATTTTTGCACGATTTGACGCGCAAAATTCATTTGAACATGTTCGTAATTCATGTATAATTCATCTCTCAGATATATTTTTTTCTTTTACGGTAGATACTCAACTTTACCTTAATTTACAGGCAAATGAAGGATTTTTAAAAATCTCCATCTCTTGCTGACAGTTTAGATAAATAAATAAATATTCGTTCAAAGATAAATAAATTAACTTTTAACAATAGTCTGCACTTTTCAAACAAGGGAACATCTTTAGTTGTTTTTCAGAGTTTTAATTCTCCAGGAAATAAAATTTTTTTTCCTAACAAAGGTGATTCACAAACGGTCTTTATTTGTCGATAGCGATCACACTAGTTCAATACGATTGGTTAAATTGTTTTGTCTCGCGTTGTTTTACAGTTTCGGTGCCATTCAACATGCGATCGGAAGGTTGCAAGATTACATCTGTATAATTATCTATCTATAAAGGTAAAAGTATTTTTTACGTTTCATGGATAGATAATTTTATAAATGTGAGCACACGAAGTTGAATGTTAAATGATACTATCTTCTTGTAAAATAACATATCTTTGTCATGTTTCATGAATTCGCAATATTCAATGCTTTCCGAATGATAGGATCAGTCATGTGTTGTGGCGCAGCAAGTAATTTTCTCGGGGGCATTCTTTTTCTGAGTCCAGCGCATTTACGTATAATTATTTTATTCAATCGGGAGAATAATTCGCATCCTTTCTCGGTGACGAGTCGACTAGTTAGAACGACATACAGATTGCTAGGCTCTTGGATTTATGGTTATCCATTAACACCTTCTTGACGGGGGCTGACGTTACGTCGCGTGCGTTGTTTACCATATTTGCCGTGCGTTTGTTTGTCGGATGGATAACAAAGCCCCTGGCGACTAATCTGCCATCGCATAAGCAGCTCGGCAAACCCTTCCTATCGATTCCTCCGTATGCTCTCGCAGCTACAGACTAAATATGCACACGCGATTGAGAGATTTTGGGGACGGTAACACGTCGCGATTCAGAAGGTGGTTAACGATATTTGGACGCCGCTATATTTTCCTGCTAAACACGATAAGCAACATTGCGAAATGTAGAGTAACGAAGTTGTCATGTGATGCTTGCTAAGCCGATTTTAAATCAGTAGATACACGCGAATTCTAATTTTAACATTGCGTTTGACATTGCATTATTTAAAATGACTGTACGCTTTTCCTTTACAATTTTTAAAGTGGAATCTAATTCTAAGGACAAAGAATAATAATGGAGGCAGTGTTAAAAGAGTGTTAAAAAGAGTGGCTCAATTGTCAATTTTTAAAAGTGAAATTTCACTTTTTAGAGTTAGATTCAACTTCAAAGATTTTAGAGAGCTGTTTCGTGATGATTTCGTTTGAAAAAGTAAATTTTAACATAAATATTATTTGATACGATACATTTGATACGATTAATATTTGATACGATACATTTGACTGATCGATTCCGATTATGTTAAAAACATTTATTGTAGTATTGCTAGATTTTCGATTCTTGGAGCAAAAGAAAAAAGAAAGTAGTTAAAAAGTATTATCGTCTTTGCACGAAAGCAATTTTATAATAATAAATTGACATCATGATCACTCGCGACCAATTGAAGTCTTCGGATTGATGCTCAATTTGATTGAAACGATTTTATTTCGAGATCAGCGTTGAATCGATAGTCTCTATCGATACGTTCGAATTATCATAGATAAGTATGGCAAATGTAATTTAAATTCCAATTAACGCCAGATTATTTTTGAATGGCAGATTCATTGCGTCGAAATTTCTGTTCAGCCTCCTCTTAAATGAAAATGTTTCTTTACTTAATAATTGCGATATTGTGTTATTATAAAATATTCCTCTACTTAATAATTGATATTGTATTATACAATAATACAAATTTTCGAATTGATACGAAAAAATTAAATAAATGCTATTTTGCTTTATATGTTGTAACACTTAATCCTGATTTAAGTAATTGTTTTTCGCTAGTACTGACTTTGCTAGCTCTTGAATGAATCTGCCATCGATAAAATTTAAGGTTTTACAATTCGCAATGTTTCAAAGCGAATCAAAACACTCATTAATCGCATTAGTAATTGCGTGATTATGTTATAGCACAATTGGCAATTACTTTTCAATCAACCAAAGCAAAGTAGTCACCGATTGCTTTATTCTAACTAGTTAAAAAATAATCCTCAATCGTCAATCACAATCGCGTAATCGCTAGTGTAATTTTGGTTTTAGAACCGGTCAAAATTAATGGTAATCATAGTAAAGAACCATAATTTAAAAAAACCAGGATTGTTCTCCATTTATATTGATTTTACTGATATAGCTGCAAATAATTTGGCATTATCATCATGAAACATATCCCGTTTTGCAAATGTATGACGGATATCGCGCAAATCGCGCGCACTTCTTCTCAGTTGCAAAATTTTGTTGTTGGAAAATCAGGTTCTCCAGATCGAAAGACGATAATTAAACTTCTCTATTAAAATTTTTATTTCAGTAAAAATTTGAAGTTAATCTGGAAATAAGTCCCCTCCACTCTTCTTCGTACATCTCCTACTCGTAATTTAACAAGAATCGACTTCAACTATCCTCGTTCTCAATCTGTTCTCTATTAAAATTTTAAAACCATTGTCTTTCCTTAAAACGGAGAAGACACGCGACTTTCCAGACATCCCAATATGAAAACTAAATACGTCACTTGCGATGCCGCGTTAAGCGTCCGTTTAAATCACGAAGAAAGACACGCGGCGAACACGCATACTCGTGTACGTCTCGCTCTCTCTCTCTTTCTTTCTCTCTCTCTTTCTTTCTCTCTCTCTCTCTCTCTCTCTCTTCTCTCTCTCTCTCCCCTCCTTCCGTTTTTCTCTTTCCATCTCTGCTGCCGTACAGTCGTTCCACGATCATTTCCGAGCCGACACGCGCGTTGTTCTCCGAACAAGCCGCGAGAAACCCTCCGGAACGCGCCGCCCCCGAGCCACGCCTTATCCTTCTCCTCCATCCCTCTTTTCCCTTTTTTCGCGCCCCCGCGTGTCCCCGGGCAATCCCCGCCGCGCCGTCCACGGCGGTTCTCAATGCCTATACTGCTGCTCGAGCCCCCTTCGCAGCCTCTTCGCGGCGGTCTCGCCACCGCCACCACCGCCACCACCGCCACCACCGCCGCCACCACCGCCACCGCCACTACCGTCGGCTTCAGCATCACTGCAACCGTCCTCACCCTCGGCGACGACGCCCTCGACTTCCTCCTGCCGCCGCTTCGCCGTCGCCATCTCCGCCGCGTGCTTCTTCCGCCACTTCGTCCGCCGATTTTGGAACCATACCTGGAAATCCGGAAACGGACTCGTGTTAACAGGTTCATGATTAAAACGTGATTTTAATTTTTCCGATGCATTCGTTAAGTTCAAGTCCAATTTCGCCGACAATTATAATTTAAAATGCTTATTGAATATTCATGTTGTAGTTTTATATTAGTTGTAAAGCGATATATATATATATATATGTAAAATAAGATAAAAAGACTAGGTCAAACTGTGTTCTTAAATTGTATATACCTAATATAAAAATTAAATACTTCAATGTATCGTGTAACAAAGTTATCAAATATTTCCGAATCTTCTTATCAATCAGTTCGTCATAATAATCAATTAATGCCAATAATTCTTCCCTATTACAAAAAGATTCTAATTTCATAGTACCACAGTTTTTTGAAAATTTTATCTCTTATTCAGCTAAGTTATAAATAATAAATATATTAATTAGAAATAACAACGAGATAGTCTTCTAAACCTACACAAGTACGTTAATTCGATTTTCGAAGAACAGATTAACCCTCAAAATAAAAATCATCGCGAAGCAATCGAAGCAATCCTTCGATTCGAATCGGTCGACGAATTATTGAAATAGTTGACTCTCGACGTCTTTAATATCGTCCACCCGCGGAGTCCATTCAACCTTTCTCGATTAATACGCTAGCCTCGACTCTAGCGGGCGTCTATAACATTTGAATTAACGGGCAAAGGTCCCGGAGAAAATTCATCGGCAACTGGCCTCCCGCGGGGACCGGAGGGGGTTGGAAACGGCGCTAACTTAAGGTGCCCCTCTGCACCTATAAAGCTCGAGATACACAGTAGGAGTCTGTGTCCCCGCAACAATGTATTTAATTAACGTAACGGGTGTCAGGGGAGCACGGGGGAGCTTCACCGTGGCGCGATTGCACCCACAAACCACCCCCGATCCATGCCAGCGTGTGGCCCCCGCTAAACTCCTCCCTCTTCCTCTTCGCCCTCGTCCTCCTTCCTCCGGCCACCCCGTCGCCGCCACCGCCGCTTCGAGAGCTTAAATTAAAGATATAAGCATCCCGGCGAGCAAGCGCGGGCGCGAAGCGGTAAACGAATTAAAAAGTAAACGGCCGACCGTAAAAGTTAATGGTTGTTCGGATGAAAATTAAAATACTCGAGGAATTAAGATAACGGAGAGGCAGGCGAATGGACAATCTGCAGGGATTGACTGCAGGCAAATGTCGGACGTAAAAAAGCAGTTTGGCCCGGCAACGAAAGTCCAATTTATATTTCATGTTGGTCTTCATAAAAAAAGAAGAAAAAGAAAGAAAGAGAGCGAGAGGAAGAGACAATGGGTAAAAGAAAGTGAGATACGCGAAAAGAAGATTAAGTAGCGCATTCAGGCTGTCATTAAGTCGCTTATCCTTAATTATAATTTTTTAAAGAATTTTTCTTGATTTCTAATAATAAATTTTTGAAATACTTAATTCTTTTAAAACACTCTTTATCCTTTTCTCTTTCTCCGAGATAAAACAAATATTTTCGATAAATATTTTAATCTGAGAAAAAAAATATTTTTTTTAGATGGATGTCAAGACTTAAGTTTAATAATGCATTGATTTCTCGAATAATAATATAATGTTGCTTACTCGAAATATACAAACATTCCGCAGAAAAAAAATAGATGCTTGGTTGCGGGTTTGCCTACGTATGATTGCGATTTCGCGATCGTGATAAACAAGCTACTTCCGTCTGCGAGGATTCGCAATTTCAGAGATATCGTTCAATGGATCGGAGAAACTGAGGACAATCAAAATTGATGCTAAGTTTACCGAACTCCCCTCGGGATCGTGCGAGCCGACCTAGTTTCTCTCTATTAGTACCGACCCTGTTTACTTTGCTAAAACTTTAAAGACGATAAAGTACTTAGTTAAGTCCTTAATAAATTCAAATGTAATGTCCTATTTTTCCAGAATCGCGGATTGTATTTTATTAGATAAAGATTTATCATGTCCTTCTTTTTCAGATAAGAATGTTCTTCTCTTTGTTAATTGCTAAACATACGCTTTATCAAACTTATTTTTATCAAGATTATTGTTTGTAAAAAAATTAAAAAATTTGCCGGTTTAATGAAAATTATCTAAATTTTGTTCGTCAGAGATGCATTTTTAATAAAATGCAAAAGGAAAGACCGGGACTTGTGTTGGCTTTTTCACAATTTCGAAATTAGATTTTTTAAACAATTAATTATTATGATTAAAATATACTGATATGATAGAAAGAACCTCTTTCTACATTTTCATATCAGTAATGGTATATATACATGTACTGTATAGTTTTTTATGATAAATGAAATTTGTCTCGATATTTGGGGTAGTATTATGGGGTAATATATGGGATAGTATATCACGGTATAAGTTGATTTTATGATAAACTCTATATTAAATTAACAAAAATGTAATAAAAAAATAATAGAAACAAAACTCGGATAGTAGATGTGTACTTTTTAATAAATATTGCATCTTCCAAAGTAATTTGTAATGATTAGCAAAATATTGTTACAGAAAAACAAATATAAATTATTTTAGTTCTAGTTAGTAATTATGTTATTTTAATATAGAAATATAAAACATTTTGTTAGAGTTAAGTTGTAATTGAATGTTAACATGTGCGATACAGTAATCTAATCTTTTTTTATATTATATAAGCCACGTACTCCATTCATGCACATTAATTTTTCTGATTTTTATCATTTTACTATAAAAAATTACCATTGTTACTTAAAATAAAGTGTCATATATACTAACAGACACTTGGTTTAACTAATAATACGTCACTTATATTTGCTTTTTCAAGCCAAAGAATAATAATATGAAATGCTCAAAAATTTACTTTCTTCTTAAATCAGATTTTTCCCTTTTTTTATTGTAATATATGTTTAATTTAAATGAAGCTTAGAGAAAAGTATCTATAATACAAAAGAAATTTTGCAATAACTTTTCCATTGTTTCTTTCGTTATAGGTACAAACGAAACGCAATGCCAACTTGCCTCTTATACCAACGAGTCCCGGTCTCCTCTAACATTTACGTGATTTTAATATTTTTGTTTTTATATTGTTTAATTAATTAGTTATAATATGACAAGGAAAATTTCTATAAGCAGTATAACTTTGAAAAATGGGGCGGACAATTCGCAACTCGATCTTTCTCGATGAAACGATGAAAAACCGATTTGGGAGTTAGCCGCAAAACCTTTCCTATCGTTATTCTTTAAATCGTCGCGACTGATACAGTGCGAAAATGTAAATGCAAAGAAAGTCCTGACCGGGATCCATTCATCTTGTTTTTGAACGCATTAGTCACGCGCACGTTGCGAGACGGAGGCGGAGAAGCAGCGGTTGTCGTTCTCTCTTCCCCCTCGACGCCGACGTTGCGCGTCGCCTCACAACTGTTCGATTTATTAAATCAGGATTATCTAAGCCCATTACTTTGTCCCGTCGAGAGCTAGATACAAAACCGCATTTGTAACTCGCGTAAAGCCCTTAGGGCGGGCCCGCAGAGAGCGGCACTGATTTCCGCGGTCGTCCACCTACCCTTTCCCTCCCTTCGTTCGTAGCAGATAATACCGATAGCATCTGATCTCGCCGTTGATATCGCCGCTGGGACAATTTATTATGCGAAAGATTACGTCCGTGTGACTCAGTTCTCACCCTCGAGGGGGGTGACAAAATTCGCGCGAGTAACTTCTCAAATCAAAATTATGATAAGGCCATCGCAAATCTATAATTATCTAGATAAATGCTATGATCCAAACGCATAAACTTTATTCTTGACCGTTTAGATACATTTGATAAAGTAGTTGTAAAAATTTATTTTATTTTTATTGTATTTTAATTGCTTAGATTTAAATAGATTTTTAATTGCTTAGATTTAAATAGATTTTTATGTTTTCTGCTAATATAAAGAAAAAATTATGTTACTTTAAGAATGTTTTTTTATTACAATAATGATTTTCTTTATTAAAACAACTCTCTTTAAAATTATCTTACTAGGCGTCAATATTAAAAAAATTTTTTTAATAACGTTTCTTTCGAAAACAGGGGTTGTATCAATAAGAGCATTCTTTAAACGTTTCGAAGAAACATAATTTTCGTATGAGCGAACGATTGATTTTGTGAGATGTAATTATGTAGTGATAATAAAAAGACAATAGAGCAAGATATACCGAGAAGGTAAAACATAGCAAGAAAAAAAGAAGATTATCAAAGACAGATACGCAAAAGGAGATGGAACGGAACGGTTGAGAAAAAAGCAAGGAGTGTAAATTAACGCAAAACCTAGGTGTAGGTGGAAATCGGAGAAGAAAAGAGAAAGAGAGAAACGACTGACAAGGTGGGATATCCCGTTGGGGGAGAAACGAGAGAGGATCAAGTTAGGGGCCTTAAGGGGTGGCACAGAGATTACGAGAGAAAAAGAGAAGGAGAAATGGAAGAACTGTGTATGCATAGGAACGGATTTCGATGTAAATGCGTGGAAAGGAAAGGAAACTGCGGATTGCAGTTACAGATTATTCTCCGTCTTTCTCTCCTTACCTTCTCCTCTCTTCTTCTTTTTCTCTCTTTCTCACTCTCACTTATCCAAAGCCGCGTATATTCCAAGATGCCATTGGTGCAGCTCTGATAGTTCTAATCAGTTTTTCCTTCTGTTTTCCACAGGAAAGAGATAGCACGAAGACATATGTAGATCTTTCGTTGCCATTTGCAAAACATACTTTGTATTAAAATACAAATAAATTATAAACAATTATAAAAAATTATATTCATACAAATCTGTAAAATAACATCTATTATATCAAATTATTATTACTAAGAACTAACAATAAGTACGATAAAAAGATATTTATAAAATATTATATATTTTTTTATATTTAAAAATAATTTATATAGATGTGTAAAAAAGGATTAGTTATTCATATTACAAATTAACATAAAAGTTATCATAATTGTTATTAAGTAAACATGAATTATAATTGAGTCGAGGG